TTATGTCACTATTTTTAAGAGATTGGCATATTTCATTGTCATTTTTTATGTATATAAGAGAATACATTTTTATTGATTTTTTTTTGATAAAGTTGTTCTGCAGAGTAAAATTCTGGGCTGAATGTTTTGTTTTTTGAGTTTCTTTCATGTTATTTTTTTGCTCATTTCACTGTTTGTAACATATTGAATAGTTTTGCATGATTTTTGTTCTTCAACGGAAAGTTGTTTAATTTTTTTTATTAGGATAATTAATATTTGTATTAAGGGATATTGCTTATTTCATTGTAATTTTGTTATACGTAATAACTTTCTTTTATAAAGTTGTTCTGCAGAGTAAAATTCTACGCAGTTTTTAAATTTAACGTTTGGTGTTCCTTTCAGCCATTTTTCCGGTACATTTAAAAGCCAGACGAAGGCTGGCAGCGAAGCTGCTAGTGCAATAATAAAGATATCATTAATTTGACTTCGCCCATTAGTGATACATTTGGATGACAAATTTCCGTCAGCTTTTTAATAAAATTTTACGGTAACTTCCGAAAAAATCTATTTTAAAATTTCCTTCAAGAAAGGTATTAATTTTTTCATCAGAGCTTTTATGCTTTCCTTTAGGCTTATTTGTCACCTATAGTGAAAATCTTGTAAATTTTAGCAATCCGAATAATATATCGATATAGGTTCATCGATTAAGCACAAGAGTATTAGCAGTATATTGTAGGCAATAAACCTCTTTGAATAAATTCATTAACGAGAGAAGGTATAAAACAAATAATAGCGAGTTTCCTTCTTAAAAACAAATTCTAATCTTAATTATTGGTTCCGAACGTTTTACTGTTGCCACTTAAGCAAAAAGAAAATTGCAACGCTAAGAGTTTGACGCATAGCATTTCAGTGTTGCAAACGATCGATTTTATTAAAAATAAAGCATAAACCACAAATAATGCTTAAATGAAAAGTTAATTTCCATGATTTTTCATCATCACTGTGACAGGAGACTGGTTACGATAGATAAAGATTCCTGATTTTTAACAGAGATATGGAAGTTCATAACTGCTTGGGTTTTGTTAGAAAGAAATAGAACTCTAATACAAGACAGATGGGAATTTTGCTTAAGTTGAGCAAAAGTATATAGAATAAAATATAAATAGAAATCTTCCTTTTAAAAACTCACAAAGTACTTTAACAGGAATGTAGCAATGTAGAAAGTTTATGAAAGCATATTTTATCAGGATAAATCTTATGAAATAAATAAAATCATGGACAAATTATAACAGGTACAGGTTGAAGCTTGTCCGACACCTGTGCTATTCTGTGGGTATAATAGGTACTGTCGGCCTTGCTAACTGTTATGCTGCCGCCTCAGGTTTGATGGAGAACACCCCCAGAGGGCGATTCGACGGTCTCCCATTTCTCTTCTCTTAACACCAAACTTTCGAGAGGACTTTCGATTCGGTGTGTACTTTGAGTGCCCTTTTGTTGTTCAGAACTATACGCTTATAAACATCCATGCCATGGGCAGTCAATATCGCTATTCAGTCTACTGGTTAGGCTGTAAAGCATTGCAAGTGAAAGGTAACGGAAAAGCAGCACATCAGTACTTTTCCGTCGTGTTGGACACGCTTATCGCTGTGCTAGAATCCGCGCTACGCAGTGGTTTGGGAAGGAATGCAAAGGAAAACGGGAGTAATGTAAATTAAAAAATAAATTAATTAAGTTAATTGGAAGCAGAAAGATGAAAAATATGCAACCGCCTTCGTAGGGAATCGAACCACGGACCTCTGGAATACCGGCCCAGCGAGCTACCGTTACACCACGAAGGCACGCTAGGGAAGTGGGAGAAATACCTTATATACTCCCCTTTTTAAAGGGCGACTAGGGTTTTAAGGGAACAAGTCGCCAAATCATGGGTGCGGAAAATCATCACCCACAACCCTTTTAGTTCGGGCGCCACTTGTAGAGTCATTAGGTTAATTAGAAGCAGAAAAAATGAAAAATATGCAACCGCTTTCGCCGGGAATCGAACCACGGACCTCTGGAATACCGGCCCAGCGTGCTACCGTTACACCACGAAGGCACGCTAGGAAAGTGGAAGAAATACCTTAAAATAAATCTTCAGATTTTATATTAAGCCCAAAGACGTGTTTTGTTTTCATTTAGATGCATACATGTTTCAAGAACATGTGGACTAACACTTCTTTGGGTTAAAAATATTTAAAAACTGCATATCTTATAATTTCCGATAGACAGTCTCGCGCGCTGGTGACAAAAATATTTTATTCCGTACAGTGTTGCCACTGCTCGCTTTCAAATAGTTGGAATTTTTAATCACAAATTCGTTACAGATTTATAAAATATGAAATAGACAATAAAACAAATTCCAAATTCGGGCTTCCAAGTACTCAGGTTCGGGTGGAGGACAATGTTATTCAAAATTTGATGACTCTAGGTAACGTTGTTTTTGCACAATGCGAGAACAAACATATGACCTTGGAGATTGTTCATCGTTTAGTTTCTTTATATGTAATACAAAGTGATAATATTTGGTGGCATCAATTTGAAAAGTGATACATTCCATTTAAGTGATTCGACATAAAATCTCGTTTAGAGACTAATAGGTTTTCTGGGCTTACGTCCCTTTGGGCTAAAAAATAAATCAAGAAATGATAATTGACTAACTGTAATGAAATGTAAATAGAATTGAGCACCGACATACGTTTTCCGTTATTCGTTTCAGCGAAGAGAAAATACTCCTTGATAAGTTGTTAGAGGCTAAACTACGTGTTGAGGCTGATTGCATGGGCATTTTCGTGGTGGTTTTCCTCATGTGTAACGTTATATATAAGTCAATTTCTCTTAGAATGTCCTCCACTAAGGCGTGCTTATCCTCAGACAGATAACTCTGGCGTTCTTGCCGTAATCAAATAAATAGACAGCTGCTAAAAGTTCATTAAAACAGCAAATTTGTAAGTTGGTTTCAAAGGCTGGTTAACAGTTCTTAATTATGTTAAACATGAGGAATGTCTGTGTTATTTTTGTAAAATGTGACATAAATTCCGTAATTATTTTTAATAAAAAGTATACGTTTAATACTCAGGTGATAAGATGGGACCTGAAAGGTCACCTTGGAAGTTCCCATTCTCTTACAACAGATCCGTAGTGATATTAAACAATTCCATCATCTTTCATTTAAATTTTGCATGTATCCATTACTGTATTTTTATGCAAAAGAGGAAATATTCAGTAAATGTTTTTGAAACTGTTGTGAATAAAACGCCTCGCTTTAGAAAGTACACTCATGTCCATAAATTAAGGACAATGCAAAATCAGGCAAAGGAAGAGTTAGAAGCAAAACAAATTTGACTTATTTGTAAAGCTTATTTATTAAACAAAAGGTAAAGGGGGAAAAATGTCATATTAAGACAGAATAACACGCCGAATAAATACTAATTCAGAAGTCAAACAACAAAAGTCAGCGTTAAATTTTGTAAATATAACGCTGATTTTTGTTGTTTGACTTCTGAAGATGTCATATGTTTGATATTATTAAAAAAATCAGCGATTTTTTCTCCTTGGAGCAAATTACAAAAAACACTATTTACAAAAAACCAATGTTACATGGTTGGTATGATTGTTAATACATTGTATGTCTCCCAGACGATACAATACACTCCGTACAACGCCTAGGTATGCTCAGTATCAATTACGATCTGATCTTGGGGAATATTCCCACTCAAAAAAGCCTCTCCGAAAGTTCCGGTAGACTGTAGGAGGAGTTGACGGCTGCAACTCGTCGGCCAAGCATATCCCACATTGCTCTACTGGATTCAAGTCCGGTGAGATGCTGGCCAGTCCATACGGGTGATATCCTCCGATGAAGGCATTCGCTTACGAGTGTACACGGTGAGACGGGCGTTGTCATCCATAACACAAAATGGCGCTCATGGCGCCCCGAAACAACGTAATGTTGTTCCAGATGAAGTCCCGATAGATTCGGCTTGTCATGGTTCCAATTGAACATGCAGGTCATTCTGGAACCCAGAAATATTCCACCCAAACGAGCACTCCTGCACACCGTAACGGTGTCGTTCAATGATGTTTTCTTGGTGGTAACGGTGTCATTCAATGATGTTTTCTTGGTGGTGACGGGTACCTGGAGCTCTCCATATGAAATTCCGCCGAGAATCGGACTGCAAGCTAAACCTGGACTCGTCGGAAAACTTCACACAAGCCCACTGTTGCGGTGTCCACAATGCATGCTCTCTACTCCAGGCTAACCGCAGGCGACAGTGAGTTGCAATAAGTGGAACGCATCTGACAGGTCTACGAGCATATAGACCAATCTGACCTAAGCGTCTGTATACGGTCTGCCTTGAAATTGTCGTACCAGTGACTGAAGAGAGCTGACGAGACAGGTCTGAGGCTGTGCTCCGGCTGTTTCGTTTGGCAGTAACTGCCAAATACCGGTTCTCATTCGGCGTTGAATCAGTTTTCAAATTGTAACTCTGGGGCGACCTGTGCTGCAACGTCTACTCACATTACCATCATTTGGAATCGTTGCCAAAGCCTGGAGATGACACTCTGGGCAATTCAAAGTTCGTCTGATACTTCTAGTTGGGTACGCCCACATTCCAGACGTCGATAATTCTTCTACCACGTAAAAATCATCCAAATGGGTCCTTTGTGTCATAACTATTCGTTATTGCACTGAATGCTTAAAGCGCCTGCGAACAATTTTACTTCTTTGCCGGTATTCCTTATATCCTCTCTTACGCTCTCGTCATTGTGACGTACCATCGGTGTCATCTGGTTACTTCCTGAATTTGCTATATTCTTGAAGTTTGGTATGATTTTACAGGTGATATATTTATTTTAGAGTTCGATTTCCGCGTGACTTCGAATTATCCTTAATTTATGGACATGAGTGTATTTAAATTGAAATTAACGCATAACTGCATTAGAATCAACTATGATACACATTTGCAGAATAGGTATAGAAAAAATACCTCGCGATGTGGCTTCGGAATCCACTTTGACATCCATGCTCTGACCTCGTCTAGTGACGTGAAATGTATGCCACTGATCATCGTTCAATCCCTGTCCCACGAAGAACACCTATATGAACAAAATTCATATATGTGAATAATTGGACTGGAAAAAAGCATACACACTAAACATTAAATATAATAAAAGAAAATTATGTTTCTATGGTAAATATTACACAAGGTTGGTGCCGGAGCGGGTGAAACCCGCAGAGCTGAGAGCCGGCAAAATTTTTAGAATTTAGGAAAGAGCCTAGCTGTCGAATTGTGCTATCGCAGAGTTTCCACCGAGAGGATAAATGTCTGCCACCTGCTTTGACAGCCCATTGTATTAGAATATGTTCTATTTCTAAACACGTAGAATACATAGAAACAAACCTTATAGAGGTTACTTTAAGCTTCTAACAGTTATTTTAAGTTTAAACATGCATTACTGTCTATTCTCGTTTCCTATCTGTGGCCACGGATGTCAATTGCTAATGGAATTAAAACTGCTAAGTTCTTTAGCTATTACCAAGTTAACATTAGTATACTGAGTAGTCGAAATTCTTCTTCAATATGGATATAAGCAAGCATCGACACTGCTCCGGCTTTTTCTTGTGCAGTTGTAATAATAAAAACACAAGGAAAATCCGGATAAGTGTCGACGCGTGCTTAGATCCATATGGAAAAAGAATTTCGACTGCGCAGTATACTAATAATATTAACTTGGTAATAGCTAAAGAACTTGGCAGTCGAGGTAGTTTTAATTCTGATTTTCTTTGCAATTGATATTTGTGATCACAATCACTTGGCACTCCAGTCGTGCCTTTCCACAGAAGATCTACATTTTTACTTCCTTGTACGAAGTAAAAAGGAAGCATTGTAATCGCGAAAAGTTTCAGGCAGCATATTTCAACGAACTATCCATTTTGACCGCTATCGATGCAATTAACGATTTTTGCTTTATCTGTACGTAAGGACCTTTCCTCCAAAAAAAAAAAAAATATAAATGCTTAAAATGAATTCTGAGAGAATTTTTCGTGGCGTCTGTACGAACGATGTACGTACGTGTGAACGACGTACGTATCTCGCATAACTCAAAACGAGTACCCAGAACGTTAAATTTGTATATAGAACTGCTATAACCTGTAGATGTGCACTCGTATTTTGGTGCAATCGGCCGCACCAAACGTATATAAAATATAATATATCTATAACACTCTGTTACCCGCTCGTAATCTCAATATCTTTACTCTTATATGTTTGTAAATAGTACATGTTTCGCTTAAAAAATGATTGAATTATGTCGTTTTATTTCCGGTTAAGGTTTTTTATGCCTTTCGTAATTCTGGAAGCAATATTGTATAATATCAACAATTTAAAAGCGTTTAAGTGCGGTTAAGTTTTAATAACATGGCGGACATATTTGTTTACATTTCAAACAGCAGAATTGTAGATTTGTTGCATCTAGAGAGACTAAGCTTCGCACAAAATAAGCTTCATTTATTATTGTGAATTAAATATGCTACCTTTCTGGAATTTTGAGGAAGTAATTTTAGATTACTTCGTAATTTTTAATGCAGATATTTGATTTTTATGTATTTGGCCTTGTCGCGAGTGAGCTGTATGAATTAATGAGAAATACTCAATCGTCTGTGAAAACTTTTTTTTCTGTTTTTTTGCTTAATTTCTTCATACATCGTTCTAATTTTGTTATAGTATGAATAGAACATGTGGCAACGAATATACTTCTTCAATGATAAAATTTTGTTGCATTCAGAGTGTCGTTATAGTAAACAAATAGTGAATTTTAAGAGTGCATTTATTCTATTGTGGTTTATGCACTGTCGACGAAGTAGATTTAATAATTCAATCAATTAAATGAAATTCAAGAAAAAAATGCCGTATAAGTTAAAATTCCGTACAAGGAAGTCGTGGTGTCCACATCAACTTTGATATTGTTGAGATAGAAAGCAAGCAGCAAATTACATCTAGCACAGTAGAGAGCAAAAGCTGAAGTGGTAGTTATGCAATATGAAGCATGCGAAGAGAACGTTGGTTTTGCAATTGGGTGATTGGTCAAGACATCTGCTAAAGGTTACGTAAGATCGCATGATTAATTTGAATGCACGTTTAGACTTAAGCTATTTTTAGGACACATAGACGAAGTTTCCAAATGAAATAGAAAATAAAAGAGGTTTATGTGAATTAAATTTAGAAGTTTGCTTTCATAATTTTTATCTTACATATATATATAATTTTTTTCTTTTACTTGATTTAACATTGAATTTACGTTGTATCGAGGGGGGCTTCAAACTTTTCGGGTGAACTGTTATTAATTAAAAAACTTTAGAATCGTTCAGCAGCTGATTTTGAATACACAAACGCAAGGGTTTTCAGCGGAAGGGGATTGTAATTACGTCTGATATATTCTTTTCTTGATAACGTTACATCAGATTTAATAGAGTTCCTCTTCTTTATTTATTTTTCTGGTTTCGGTATATATTCTCAGTTTTTAAAAATTTTTAGGCTTTATTTTCATATTTTATTCTTATTTTGCATATTTACAGGATATTTTAAATTGAAAGATTTAGGTCTTTGTGTAAAATAGGTTCTATGTTTCTTAATTTTATCTACTGATCAATTTTCAGCAGAACATTGCGCGAAAATACTTTGAATAATTATGTTTTTTAATAAAAATGTGTGATATTATGTGTTAGATGCTTTAAGTTTATTTTACTTCAATACTGCAGCTATAGCACAGGACGGGTATAAAAAAATGTTTTTTTGAAAAATTCTTTATTTATTTATATATATTATATATAATATATATATATATATATATATATATTATATTTTAAACCTGCATACGACATCTACCACAATAACAATAATAATAAAATAATTTATGTGTAATAAAATGTTTAAAAATTATATAATATATACATAGCGTCCCGAATTTCGAACTCCGAAATCTTGTCACCTTAATCTATAATAAACCCAACTGCACTTCTCGACTGAGATATGCAGTGAATTTGGCCCCTGGTGTAAATAGTAGTTTCGCCCAATTCCAAAATATACGTTATTATTAAGCATTCTGATTCAGGTCTAGTTGGAATCAGATAAAAATGGCGTTTACCGAGTCGTGCGTGTTCTATATGTTCTCGGACAAATTCTGGCACTTACGTATTAACGCCACCCCGCTTACGCATTAACGCCACTGCAGCAGAAATTGCGCTGATGCGCCAATAAAGAGCAATTCTTTTGTTCGCACGCAGTTAATCTTTTGGATTCCTTTTTGCCTTGTTGTTTGCTGATTTTCGACACCATTTTTTAATGCTACGAAAATGCGTCTTTGGTATTTGCCAAACACAGAAGAAGATGCAATTTGGTTTTTTCAGGAGCTAAATATTTTACCAAAAAAAAACGAAAATGTACCAATTCGCATGATATGAAACTTTATTTTGGTTAACGTACGTTTTGGAAAATGTAATTTAAGACAGTGTGATCAGCAAGTGGGTCTTAGAAAAGACAACTGGTTTGAAGGAAGCAGAATTCCATTTTATTTAGCTTGAGATCCCGTACTGCTGGTGCGAAGTTGACTTCGATAATTTTTGAAAAGCAACTTGATTTATCGGATAAAACTGTTATAGATTGGAACAATTACATGCGTAAATTTGTGTCCTTGGATATGGAGAATAAACCAAACAAAAGGTTAGGGGACCGATTGCACTGTGGAAATTGATGACAGTTGTTTACTAAGCGTAAAATAATTGTGGTCGATTATTACTCGAACAGTGGGAGTTTGGTGGCATACTATGTAGGGAAACAAAAGATTTGTTTGCTGTTACTGTTCCTAATAGAACTGGCTCTGTTCTTTTTAATAAAATTATTGAAAACATTGCAGATGGTAGCACAAATTTATTCTGACAGTTGGAAGGTTCCAAACATATAGATAGAAAACGAAGGATTCCTACATGCTAAAGTTAATCATAAATAAAATTTTATTGATCCTGATACAGGAGTTCATACATAAACAGTTGAGAGAATGTGGGGAAGTGCTAAATGGAGGAACAACAGACATAGGGGAACAGCGTGACATCATTTAGAATCTTATTTAGCAGAGTTCATATGGCGACAGCATCAGGTCAAAGAAAATACAGACTGTTTTGAATCTATTTTAAACTCTATAGCGGCCTATTTTCCACCGAAATCCGATTGACTACTTTGATTTTAAATAAAGAGTTTTAATTTATGATTTGTCGCAAAAATTTTAGGTGTATATTGGCGGCACTTAAAACCCGCGAAATCTGTAGCTGTGGTGGAGTTAATACGCAAGTACCCGAATTCATATGAAAACCTACAAAACGTCAAAGCAAATTTATGATAATAAACGTTCTGACTTGCTTGAAAGCCTTTGAAATTTCATAGATTCAACTGAGTATCATGCCCCGACTTAGCTTAACTGGCAACTTCTTTGGCGACTCCCCCTCTGCTTCACTACTTCAGTAACGAAGAACGGAACGTTATGGATGTATTTAAAATTTTTCACCGCATTATAGATATATAACAAGAAATTTGACTAGAACCTAAAATAGTTCTAAAGTACCCCCCCTTTTTTAGTAGTAATGTAGATTTTCACAGTCTTGCAAATGAAATTAATTAATGAAAATAATATTTGACATTTTGTGAGAATTTTGAGAAAATATAACTTATAATTGATTATTGTGATTTCTGAGTGTTGCGAAAATCCAACAGAATCCACTGAACACCATGCAACTGAATTCTTCGCAGTTGCGATTAAGATGACCTAGTTAACAATCATATCGCTGCAGTTTGTGAACTTATTACAAGCTTCCGAAATGCAATTTTCTAATTGTTAACTTTGTCATATAGCTGCGAACTTTCTTTTATTCGATTTGGAGGCCCTCCCCGTGTGCCCCTGCCTTAGTCAGGTTCTGCTAAATATGAGTATTACGCTCCTTTGCTATCCTACTGTATAACCTATGCTTCATTTGTGTACCTAACTTCGACGGGACTGACCAAGTTGTTGATCCAGGTTTTCAAAGCAAAGATGTGTTATCCATTTGTTGCTTCGTTGCCAAATGTTTTGATTACATTTTTGCAGTTTCGGATGCCGTTTCAATTTAAATTTAAAAAAAAATCGTGTATTTGATTTGCTGTACGTCTCATATCGGCTATACGATGTCCATCATTGTAGAAATCAGAATAAAACTAGCGATGTTATTGCCTCACTAACGTATGTAGAATATGACGACGCATTAAAACGCAAAATCCTGTGCGTATTGAGTATTGAGTAAAACCATAAACAGTCATATTGGCAGCATCTTGCAACTGATCCTTTCATCTGCAATTATCTATGAAATGAATACTTAAATGTATTACATTTTATATTTTTCTTTTTCTATAGCTTATAAATAAATAAAATTTGTTATATACATGGATATTATTTGTTTGCCATAGCCTACTTTTCTAATTGACTTACAGGCAGAATGACAAAGCAAATACAATAAAACTACAAAAAGGTTTAGGTGTAATGTTAATTTGGAGTTCTTTTATTAACAAACACTGCATAATGCGCTGTCAACTTGTTCCGGTGAAAGCCTCTTTTTGGTCTCTGGCAAGTTATTTTAATTAACAGATGCTCTTTAGTTCAAGTTCTAAATAAACACAAATAATGAAAATCACAAGCATCATCACAACTCTTCCAGACTTACGAAACACTACAAAATGATGTATTAATGATTTGTAGATTATTAATTAAAAAAAGAGTGTTTGAAGATAACATAAAAATGAAACCTAAAAAAGTGTTTTTAGGCATGCCTATCTTTAAATAGCTTCCACCTAAAGTTTCCTTAAAATGAAGAATATTAAATTCACATACTCACAATAGATATCTTTAGCGGGGGAAAAATCAGCAATCCAAATTAAAGAGTGGCGGGGATCGAAGCGCTAAAAGCTAAGCACTGTCAGCTATTGCAACAATAGTAGCAAAATTAGCGTAATTTTTCCTTTTACTTTCGCTCGCTTTTGTTATCGCTCTTACTCAATTTTGGAATCATTGAGATAAGTGAAAGAGAAAAAATCAGTATTAAGCAACAAAGGCAAAACATGGAATATAACTATTCAAAAGATATGTGTAAAATTGACACAAAAGGTTGTTGAAGAATTATTTAGCAAACAATAAAGCAAAGACAATACAAAAACACATGTATTACGACCATCACATCGTGAAAGACCAAATGGGTTGGAAGAATGTGCAATGAAAAGAAGTGACACGATACCTTCTAGCTGAAATGCATGTATCGTTGATCGTTTGTTGTGGCAGTAGCTCCCATTCCTGTAGTAATGCATGCCGGAGCTCGTGTAGGGTGCCTGGTGGCACACCTGCTAACCGTCATCCCAAATACACTGGTGTGCAAAAATTAAGGAGAGTCGAAATTCGCTATCGCTGAACGAAGAGGCAAGCGGCAAAGACAGTCAGATAGTATAAGGTGTGTCGGTAGCACAGCCAGATATGCGGTAGACGTAATGGTGGAGTGTCTGAGTATCTAAAAATGTGTTGGGTGTAAGATCAGTATTATGGCAAAGAGATGACTCCGTATAGCAGTTAATCACACGAGTGCTGCCTCGCAAGAAATGGCGAATAATCAGTCTGTGACGAATCTGGATGCTTACCCCCGAGTCGAATTGGGAGTTGGAGGAAGGCGCGTGTGCAGTGGGAAGAGTTCGGAATTGCTCACAGCATCGTTCACGACTTGGAGACATTTCAAACTACCGACAGCTATCCGGGAGTCGTCACGAGGACCACACCGAGCTACGGTTATGCCTTACAGGCCAAAAGAAACGGCGGCAGACAGCGGGAGAATCGCTAGACACGACAAGGCGACTGGACGACCGATATGGTTTTACGTGGCCAAAGACGGAACGGTGGTGTCTTTTGCACGACGCCCTGTACGATGGACCTCTAACGCTGCCCATTGGAGAGGCGTTCTCTGTGTCCAGGAACCCAGAATTGGAGAGACAATGAATGGGGACGAGTTACTTTTACAGATGAGACAGATCCTGAGTAGCGATTATATCGCATACTCATTGGAGAGGGCGGGGAGCCGCAATTATCCTCGAACAATCATTAAAGGGACAGTATGAGGTGCGGTGTCTCGTTTGGGAGGCATTGTTGGTGTCGTACAGACCTTCACATTGAGCGTTTTATCAACGACCTTATGTAACGAGATTCTTCTTCCCATATTTTTAAAGCTTTAGCCGTCGCAGTCTTTTAGGCGCTATGGGTCCGCAGTTTTTTTCATGGACGACATGCACCATGTATCGCACAGTAGCTGCGAACAGCTCTAAGAGTGAGATATTGAACGTTGATGGCGCCAATCCATCGAGCATGTATGGATTTTAGCATACGCTTGCAGCTCGTACTATACTACCAGTACGATCGAGCTCGATGGGCGGCTGAAGAGGAATGGGCAGCATCCTCAAAACTCATGACCCCTCATTCTCGCTGGGCACGCTGTGAAACTGCCAGCAGTCAGGGAGATCATATCCCTATTAAAGACGATGTTTCTTGCTGGACCCCTCAAGGATGTTTCGGCTTCAGTCGCATTGGCTCCTGCTACTTTCAATAAAACTTTTTTTATCCCTCTATTCTTTTTAGTAAGTTTGCTTACATACTCAGTCCTTACGTATGGGGATCTTACGGTATTAAATGTGTTATTGGAAGCTTTGTACAAGTTAATTGAAAAACCGTCTCGTCCTTAATTTTTGCACACCAGTGTATGTTCCACACATGCTCTATGGGATTCAGGTCCGATGATCTACAGGCTACGACAGGTATGGAATGGTTTCACTCTCGAAGTAAGTCTGCGCCATTCGAGTTCTATGTGGGCGGTTGTTATCATTCATAAATATCGCATCAGTACCAACGCAGCGAAAGGACGCAGCAGATTGTCGTCGCGGTATTGGATGTCTGTGAATATTGGATGCCTTCTGATAGTAGATGTTTTGATGCGATATTGTATGTCTCCAGGAGTCACGTAGAGGTCGGTGGGGTCGTTCGTTGCTATCCCAGTACATACAAGTAAGCTGTAATGGTCTGTAATGGTCTTTTTCGAGGATGTCTGACGCCTTTTCCTTCGGGAATCGTTCTAGATGTTAAATCGAGACTCATCCGTAGACAGTACATGGTACCACTGTTCTGGTGTCCAACTGCGGGGCGGATTCAACAGCACTCTGACATGTGGACAAAGGAAAACAAACCACAGGTCGTCAGGTGTAGTGTACAGTCCTGGGTTTCTCACAAGAGCGGATGCTCTTGCAGCAGCTTCCAATATCCGACAGCCCTCCAACGTAGCTCTTCATACAAATGGTGTCTTCGGCTCATGCTTTCTGCTTTGGTTATTTAGGATTACATGGAACAATCGATGCTTGCGAACTAACACATAGAACCGACATGTCCCCTTTTAAGGCATTCTGGTATGACTGCGGGATTGAGTTTTATGCTAATTTTGGTTGCCTATTCGCAATCGGCTACGCAACTTCTGTATCATATGTAAATTGTATGTTTTTTAATTCCCTATTTACATTCGTACCTTTTCTTTTAGTGTTTGATTCGTATTTTTTGAGCACGAGTGTATTTTAAGGCACGAAAATCAGTTTTTTTCATAAACGTTTTATAAATATTGAGGAAATAAATCCCGATTAAAAGCTTAATCTTGCCTTTATTAAAACGAGGGATTTCAGTAAAAACACAAAATAAATACCAAGGCTGTTACTTCGTCAATAACACTATTACAATCTTCGCCATAAGAATCTGGACGTTAGAAAATGGAACTCATTTTGCATTGAAGATGCCACCGTTATTTGGTTGGCATGGAAAGAAAGATTAATTGACACACATTATAGATCACAGTTTCGGCCATAAAGCTGTTTGGTTTCATTAAGAGCAATTTGCAACACAAGACAATAGCTAATTTTAACAGTGACAGAACTATTGGGATGCTCTTTATAACGGGCATTCATGCAGGGGCATAACTGACATAGATACTTCTGTATAACGACATAATGCTAAATTCGGATCCCAGGAGAAATGTATGCTACATAATAATTCCAAGAATTCTGGAAAAGATTTATATCCATACAGCTAAGAATAGTACCCGGCATTATTTTAAATCCCAGCAACAGCGTCGATGTTAATCAGAGTTGAATTAGAGTTGAGAATTCTTTGGAGTAAGAATTCCAAAATTTTGGGTTTTCAGTTTTCTTAATGCATAATGTAGAAACATTGAAGGTTTTTCTGAGATAATAGCACATTTTAGTGTGTGTGTAAATGACTTTCGAAAAAGAGAGAAAATCTTGCGGGAATAAAAGTTATGAATGACAATAAATACGAGATTACTTTTCAATAATTTTGATTCATTTTAATCTCAGAAGTTTTTTGTCATTGTGAATACCTCGTGTGATTTGACTGTGGCAAATATAATTAGTGCGAAATATAATATAATATAATATAAATATAATAAGTGCGAAAGTGCTTTTAAAAGTGAAGATGCGTTAGCAACCATTCCATCCAAAGACTAACCTTGTTCCCATCGCCAAGGTTTAACACTAGCTTGAGTCTTCCAGCTTCCAGAGCAGCAAAAAGAAGAGTGTTCGATTTCTCTGAAGATGTTGCAAATAACAGACCACTCGGTCGAGTGGTCTTGAAGCGAAGCCGTATGTCCTCTGCTTGCGTTGGTCCTTCTGAAACAGTGATCTTCATATACTGTGTGCCATCAAAACTGAGAGTCGTTGCATCTGGAATAAAAAAGAATTCTATATTATAAAATAAAATAATTAAACATTTTATTTGAGGGATCACATGTTTGTTTTAGACATATATAATCCTTACAGAATGTAGTTTAACTTTCATACATTACAGTCCTTTGCTATGACATCCGGCTATGCTCTCAATTGTAAAACGGGGTTTATTGCTATGAAACGCACACCAAAGTGAACCTCTTGATTGTTTTCAAAGAAGGTGTTGATGTTTTAACTTATTACAAATCCAAAATGTAAATTCTTTGTTAAGATCTTCGTATGTTAACGGAACTTTCGTCTTTTCTTTTGGCTTGAACCTGACGTACCGTATTTTACGGCATCTGATTGTTGTGCCGATAATAATTGAATCAACAACAGAAAAACGTTCACTGATAACGTACTATAAGGTATTTTATCCCTCCTTTCTGCATGCCTTTGTGGTGTAACGGTAGCACACTTGACGCGTATTCCAGAGGTCCAGGTTCGAGGTCCCAGCGACGGCATTACTTCTCCAGGACAAAAAATCTTAATGAGACTACAGTGATGCCAGAACTAAAAGGTGGTGAATGATGATTCTTAAACACCAAGATTTGGCGACTGGGTCCGCTAATTCCCAGTCACCTGTTAAAAGCGTGAGTACATAAGGCACCAGAAGTGTGCGCAGCCCGACCCACCTAACCAAACAAGTTGGCCTTATGGTCATAACAGGCGACGCCCAACCCAACAAAGGAAAATAAGTAAAAATTTTCTCCCTCCTTCCAGCATGCCTTTGTGATGTAACAGTTACCAACACTCGGTGCGTATTCCAAAGGTCCAGGTTCGAATCACAACGAGGCCATTGCTCAATTTCACGTCTCTTGTTTCAAAATAACCTAATGTCTCCATAGTGCCTATTGATATATAGAAATCTCCATTTCTAAGGCTGCCGTGTAGGATTCGAGCGATTCAAATTACGTTATATATAATCCTGCTTCTGAAATTTACGTACAGACATAGTTTTAACACCCTAATGTTCAGTTGTGAAAAGTCACTCAATATTACATTAATGTCTATGAACATTACAACACTGCAAGATTACTGGGAATGTAAAGCAGGACCGGACGTACAAGTGAGTAGAAATACAGAATAAATATACATGACCAGGCTTTGGAAGTCTTCTGAATGCTCGCAAGAGGCTTACAAACAAAAGCCTGTTGAAAAGTCAGACAGGAACTGTATCATCAGCAGGGAGATGAAGACTGCTTTTTGGGAGCTATCGTCTCTCGTAGATGTTAAAGAGCATAATATAAGTAAACCACAGAGTTTTAATTATCGGTCTCCGTGAAGAAGTACCATGATACTCGTCTACAAATAATGAAGATAATGGTACCAATGTCGAAAGGGTAGATCGAAGACAGCCAGACAAGTCGAAACTCCAGCGGTCGATCACGAATACGACAGTACCATGGAATGATAGACATATCATTTGCATAGCAGTGATGAACTATGTAGCTCCATTCATGCACCTCCATCTCAAGTATTAGCGTAACGCAAGTAAGTTTCCCATTCTCTAACGAGTCGAATAAACGAACGCCTGAAGCTCGCTACGGTATGAATTGCATGAGAATGAGAATGGAAGAATTATAAAGTAACGAAATAAAGAAAACCTGAAAGCTTTCAAATTTTACATTACTCCCAAAAGGGCGCTATTTTTAACGTTTCGTGAGTTACCTTTATTTATTTATTATATTCTTCGCACTTAAAGCATCAAATTCAATCCAACAGCAATACCGCTAAATAATTTAATGTGAGCATATCTTTAGAATTTCCGATGCAAGGCTCGCAAGCTGGAGATATAAACGTTCTTCTTTTTTTTTTTTTTTTTTTCGTACAGTGTTGCCATTCCTCGCTTTCCAATCGTTGAGTTTGTTAATCAAAAATTCGTCAAAATGTTACAAAATATGGAATAGATAATAAAGCATATTTCAGATTCCAAATCAGGGCTTCTAGATGCCCATATTCGGGGGAGGATTACATTACTCAAAATTTGATGGCTCTAGGTACCGTAGTTTTATCACAATGCGAGAAACATACATACATTTATGCAGATTTTTTCATTATTTAATTTCTTTAAATATAGCACAGGGCGATAATATTTGGTGGCGATAATTTGAAAAGTGAAACGGACACAATAAAATTTTCGATGCAAAATGCTGAAACTAAATTGATAGCCCTTCTGGGCTAACGCCCTTTGGGCTAATAAGTCCAACTTTAAAATTGTATACATATTTTGAGATTTGGCGATAAGATGAAACAAATTTAAATACTATATAAATAATATTAAAAAAAGGTTAAACAAAGGCGGGTCAATTTTTTTATTGCTTTATTTTACAACAAAACTCAAACTTTCCCGAACATTAGCTTTTTTGCTAACAAAATAAGTCATCGTATAAAATTAATTAAAAACTCCACTGTACACAACGTTTCGCATAAAAACATTGATGAATATTAATAATAAAATCAAAATGAAACTGCGCCGATAATTTTGAAGAATGCACTTCCACCTGATGCGATTAGCGCAAATAGGGAAAAATTTGGTGGCTCTTTGCATTGTAGAAGGGCAGGAGGGGAGGCCTTGACCTTTGACCTTGTAAGATCAGTTGAGTGCTTTCATGCAACACTCACGTTCTTCTCGTCGCTTTTCCTAATATAAGATAATAGCACTGCCTAAGTTGATTCGTAGGTCTATAAGATATTTTCTCCTTCCTTTCTGCATGCCTTCCTGGTGTAACGGGTAGTACACTCGGAGCGTATTCGAGAGTCCAGTCCCGGCAAGGCATTATTCATTTTTAATATACTTCTGCTTCAAAATAACCTAATGCCTCAACAGGTCAATTCTTCGATTCAGGTAGCATGTGGTGCACAGTATTACTTGCAGGCAACCCTTTGCCCAGAGTTCTTTTAATCTTGAACCGTAGTTGCCTGAAGTTATAATCAACGCTTGATATTGACAATAGTTTGCAGATTGAGAAACAGGTTAAAAGTTTGTAGATTATTGTAAGAGTAGTTTAAATATATCCATAGTTTCTTTAACATTTTTATCTTTAAAATTTAGTATATACTGATTTTTTTCTGAAAAGAAAACTTACTCTTGAGATTTAGGAAAAGTCTAGTTAAGAAAATTGAGACTTAGCAAAAATTGAAACTAAAGAAGATTTCATTACATTTTTACTTCTTTGTACGAAGTAAAAAGGAACTATTGCAATCGCAAAAACTTCAGGCATCATATTTCAACGAAAATATCAATTTTGACCGCTATCGAATGCAATTTAACGATATTTTTGCGTGACATCTGTACGTAAGGACAGAATAAAGGACTCTTTCCCACCCAAAAAATTATAAAACTGATTTAAAATTAATTTTGAAGCGAAAATTTCGGGGCGTCTATGCGTATGTACGTACGTACGTATGTACGTATCTCGCATAAATCAAAAATGAGTAGCCTCAGAACGTTGAAATTTTGTATATAGGACTGCTATAACATGTAGATGTGCACCTCGTATTTTGGTTGTAATCGGCAGCACCAAATGTATATGAATATATGTATATATATCCACTCTGTTACTCGGCTCAGTAATCTCAGTTTCTTAATTCTTATATGTTTGTAAATTGGGCACTCTTTCTTTAAAAATGATTGAATTATGTTGTTCTCATCTTCCGGTTAAGGTGTTTATGGTTTTATTAAATCTGCATGCAATATTTATAGAGTTATCAAAATTTTAAAAGTTGTTCAAGTGCGGCTAAGACTAATTAATTTTGTTCATGGCGAACATGTTTTTTTTACTTTTAAACTTGGCAGAATAGCGGATTTGTTGCCACTCTAGACAAAAACTAAGCTTTGCAAAAACAAAGATTAACGCCTTCTTTTATTATTGCGAATTAACTCATGCTTAATTCATTCTGGAATATATTCGAGGAAATAAGTGTTTAAGATTTACTTCATAATTTTCAATATAGATATTTTGTGTTTTTATGTATTTTTCTCTTGTCGGGAAGTGAAAACTGAATTAATTGAATGAGAAATGCTGAATCGTCTGTGAGAAACCTTTTTTTGTTGTTGTTGCTGTTTGCTTAATTTCTTTGATACATCGTTTTAGATTTATTATAGTAATTGCATAGAATATGTGGTAACGATTAGAAAATTTTTAAGATGATAAAAATTTTGTGCATTTTGAGTTAAAAAATGAATAAAATTTAACGCTGTTAAGGGAAACCTAGGGCCTATGGTAAACAAATATAGTAAATTTTAAAGAATGAATTTATTCTATTGTTGTTTATGCTCTAATAACGAAATAAATTTCATTCAATCCAATAAGTTTAAATGAAATGCAAGAAAAAATGCGTATAATTGAATATTCCGTCATGTGTTGTACACATCAGATTTTTCAACCTTATTTTTAAGGTAAAAAATGAAACTTTTCAATTACCTTTGGCGCAAACTGTGCCCGAATAACTTGTATGAGAACAATCGCAAGTAAAGTGATTCCAGCCTTCAAGACACGATCCTCCGTTGAGGCATGGTTGACTATCACATTGAGGTGTTGAAGTGTGACAAGCGGGCCGTATGCTACCGGAATCTTGCTTCTGGCTCACTCCCGCAATGTCTACTGCTCGACCGTTTATGATCAAATCCCTCATACAACCGACGTAACCATAACGAAGACTGCCCGACCACAGATCACTAGGGATAAGGACGCCTTGAGCACTGGTTCCAACTCCACCTATATACAATGGTCCTTCGAGGTCCAGTTGATTAGAATTACCTAAAATATTTAACATTTTCAAAAGGTAAGAACATACAATTAAATGAAATTCATAAAATATTTCCAATAACTTACACCCAGAGAAAAATAATGAAAATAATTACATATGTTATATTTTGTAAAATGCCTTCTCTTACGACATCGAATGCTTATCAGACATTATCGAACGTCATTATCAGACATTAAATATTGCTTATTACGAAATACATACCTGTTTTGAACTTCTTTAAAATAAAATTAACAATTCCTTTTTACTTCATTGTAAAGTAAGGTAAGTATCGTAATGGTGCAAATTTTCCGGTAATCATATTTCAAGAAAAATATCCATTTTGACTGCTATCGAATGCAATTTAACGACGTTTTTACGTGACATCTGTACACAAGGACAGAATATAGGGTTCACTTCCCAAAACGGGGGGCAAAAAGGATTTAAAATGAATTTCAGGAGGGATTTTTTTTCTGACGTCTATACAAATGTATGCATGTTTCTCGTAACTCAAAAACGAGTAGAAGAAGAATGCTGAAATTCTGTACTTAGGACTGCTATAGCATGCAGTTGTGCACCTCCCCTTTTGGTTGCAATCGGCCGCACCAAAATTATACATATACAGTGGTGGCCAAAATTGTGGACACTTTTGGAAATTTTTATGTTTTCGAACTTTGTATGTTTATAGAAAACGTTACGTTTCACAAAATGCAAACTTGTATGTATCATTTTAAATAGAATTTATTACTGAATTCAATACAAAACACAAAATTCAATTATTTGCAATATAAAAAAAGTTAAACGATAATAGTTATCGATATACATTAGATAGTGATGATTGCAGTGAGTTATCAGTACTTAGTAGGGTACCCTTTATTTTTGATTACAGCTTCACATCGACGTTTCATTGAGCTGACAAGAGTTTTAAGCTCTTCTTTCGTTATTACATGATGCAGGAAACAATTATAGCCTCAATTAGTTCCCTTTTATTTGATGGGCGCCTCATTCGGACAAGAGTTTTCAAACGGTGCCACAAATTTTCGATAGGATTGAGGTCAGGACTGTTTCCTCGCCATGACAACAATTTAATGCTCTTTGTACGAAACCACTCTTTCGATATTTTGGCCGTGTGGCAAGGATCAGAATCCTGCTGAAAAATAAACGAAGCATTGTTGGGAAAGAGATCTCTGATGGAAGGTAGAAGTTTTGGTTCTAGAATAGTGTCAATGTATTTTCTGGCATTCAGTGTCCCATCGAAGACATGAAGGCGACCAATACCATCTGCTGACATGCATGACCAAATCATAACACTAACTGGGTTTTTCACAGTTGCTTGAATGCAGTCAGGATGTAGCTCTTCTCCTATTCTACGTCTTACATATTTTCGCCCATCACTACCGAATAACGATATCTTAGTTTCATACACTCCATATAACATGTGACCACTGATCATCTGTCCAATTAATGTGTTCCTTTGCCCACTGTAGTCTTTGTTTTCGTTGCTGAAAATTAAGATAAGGCTTTTTTTCGTGGAATTCTACCTCTCAGTCCAACATCTGTTAATCTTCTCCTGATTGTTCTTGAACTGACAGAAACACAAGCATCATTCAGATCACTTCTGATGGCCGCTGATGACATTTTTCTATCTTGGAGACATAGTTTTTTTTATTCTTCTGTCATCAATAGATGTGGTGCACCTTTTTCGGCCTTTACCTTCTTTGTTTTTTATTGAATTTGTCTCCTGATATCGTAAACAAAAACTTTCGGACTCCAGATGTAGTCATTGAACCACCCACCGTCTTGCAATTTCAGCAAGGAAAGACCACTTTCTCGTAACACAATAATATTACATCTCTTTCTAGGTGTCCAATCTACTCTTTTATTTGATGTCATTGCTTCTTGACTAAATATTAAAAAATTTTTACAAAATTCTACTTGTTAATTGCAGTGTATAAGAAACAGGTCCTCCTTCTATAGAACAAAGCAAAATAATGAATTGTTTCAAGTGTAAACATGGTGTCAGCTTTTACTGGCAGTGACTAACATTTGATTGGTTCTCAGAACAAGAACAGTGATTGGCCAGGAAAGCTAGACATTACAAACCACTTCACTGTGTTTTTTTATTTATATTAAAGTACATAAAATATTTTTTGTATTGCAAATAATTGAATTTTGTGTTTTGTATTGAATTCAGTAATAAATTCTCTTTAAAATTATATATACAAGTTTGCATTTTGCGAAACGTAACATTTTCTATAAACATACAAAGTTCAAAAACATAAAAATTTCCAAAAATGTCCAAAATTTTGGCCACCACTGTATATACACAGTCAGTTACTCGGCTCCCTGAGCTCAGTATTTTTTATTCTTATATGTTGGTAAATTGTGCAATTTTTGCTTTAAAAATAATTGAATTATGTTGTCCTTATCTTCCGGAAAGTTATTTTGCCTTTAGTTAATCTGCATGCAATAGTTGTAGAATTATCAACAATTAAAAACTTTTCTAAAGGCGGTTAAGCCAGTTTTTTACCATAGCTGTCATATTTGTTTACATTCCAACCTTAGCAGAATAGTGAATTAAGTTAGTTTTTGCACCTTCACTATCTTTTTGCTGAGGGGGACCAAAAGTTACCTTTCAGTTTTATGCACCGAAAAATCTGCTTTCTACCTCGATGATCGAATGGCTGTTTTTGTGTAGGAACTCTAATTTTAATCATAAAAATTGTTCTTTTAGTTGTTTTAACTGTATTTGCTGTTTTATATTTTCTATATTTTTCAATTTTGGAGAAAGGTATTTTAAAGTTTTATGTATTTTCGCCTTGTCGGAAAGTGAGAACTGAATTAATTGAATAAGAAAGCTAATGAAATTCTCTAATGAAAACTAATCTCTATTGAAATTCGAAGAAATAAGTATAAACGAAATGCAGCAAAAAATGCGTATGATTTAATATTCGTGCAAGGAAGCCACGTGGTGTACGCATCAGATTCAGGTAGAATACTCAGATTTCCTCTTACTTTTTCAGGCCCACCAGCGGCAGAGCGTTAAAGTTGCTGAACACTGGTAGTTTGGTCCGAGGTTCGAATCCCGCGAACGGGCTGGCTGCATGGGTGTTTTCGTGGTTTTCCCCATGTGTAACGTGTATACGAGCCAGTTTTCCTTAGAAAGTCCTCCACGAAGGCATTCCTCCTCTTAGGCAGATAGGACTTACACTAGGGGTAATGTGCTTTGCCATAATTAAATACACCACTTCTTATTTTTCAACATTAAAAGCATTTTACTCGCAGAAGGAATTCTGAAGATTCTGATGACAATTCATATGAAATTTTGCACCATATTATTACGCAATCTGAAAAGTTTTCTCCTTTCACACATGATATTCTACGCTGTGCAGTGCCCATTACTTTTATTAATAATGTGTTATATTACTTTATTAATAATTAATATTACTTTTAGTAATAATTTGAAAATAACTTTATGAGTTACGAATTTATTGCCTTTACTACTGAGATTCGGTTGCAAGAGACGAAAGAAATTAAGCCTAAAAATGTCTTATGTGAACACCATATGACTGCCTTGTAAGGTTTATTAAATTATGCATATTTTTTGCTGCACTTCATTTAATTTATATCCTCGAAATATTTTAACCTAATTAACCGATCCCTCATCCCTCAAGGCAAGATCGAATTGACCCCAAAAATTGCAAATTTTGAAATTAAATATTCCGGTCAACTTTTGTCATACGGGACTGAAACGTTTTTCTAGTTTCATTTTTACTTCCTTGTACGAAGTAAAAAGGAAGTATTGTAATCGCAAAAAGTTTTAGGCAACATATTTCAACGAAACTATCCATTTTGACCGCTATCGAATGCAATTTAACGATGTTTTTGCTTGATATCTGTACGTAAGGACCTTTCCTCCAAAAAAAAAAAAATTATAAAACTGCTTTAAAATGAATTCTGAAGAGAATTTTTCGTGGCGTCTGTACGAACGTATGTACGTACGTGTGAACGTACGTACGTATCTCGCATAACTCAAAAACGAGTACCCCCAGAACGTTGAAATTTTGTATATAGAACTGCTATAACCTGTAGATGTGCACCTCGTATTTTGGTTGCAATCGGCCGCACCAAACGTATATAAATATATATATATATATATATATCCACTCTGTTACCCGGCTCAGTAATCTCAATATCTTTACTCTTATATGTTTGTAAATAGTACATGTTTCGCTTTAAAAAATGATTGAATTATGTCGTTTTTATCTTCCGGTTAAGGTTTTTATGCCTTTCGTAATTCTGGAAGCAATATTTGTATAATTATCAACAATTTAAAAGCTGTTTAAGTGCGGTTAAGTTTTAAATAACATGGCGGACATATTTGTTTACATTTCAAACAGCAGAATTGTAGATTTGTTGCCAATCTAGAGAGACTAAGCTTCGCAACACAAAAATAACGCCTTCATTTATTATTGTGAATTAAATCATGCTTAATCCTTTCTGGAATTTTTCGAGGAAGTAAGTGTTTAAGATTTACTTCGTAATTTTTAATGCAGATATTTTGAGTTTTTATGTATTTTTGCCTTGTCGCGAAGTGAGAGCTGTATGAATTAAATGAGAAATACTCAATCGTCTGTGAAAAACTGTTTTTTTTCTGTTTTGTTTGCTTAGTTTCTTTCATACATCGTTTTTAGCTTTATTATACTAGTATTGGAATAGAAATGTGTCAACGGTAATTCTTCAAATGATATAAATTTTGTGCATTCAGAGTGTCGTTATAGTAAACAAATAGAGTGAATTTAAAGAGTGCATTTATTCTATTGTGGTTGATGCGCTGTCGACGAAGTAGATTTAATTCAATCCAATCAATTTAAATGAAATGCAAGAAAAAATGCGTATAATTTAATATTCCGTACAAGGAAGTCCTGTGGTGTACACATCAGATTTTTTCATAATGAGTATGAAACGTTCCCAGATATACACTGGTGTGGAAAACTTAAGGACGAGACGGATT